CAGCTTATTCACTCCAACTTCAATCAACCCTCTAATAGTGTTAGCTTTGTACTATTTTTTTTCTAGTCATTTGTACACACTTAATAAAGTTACTAATTTTATATCAATGGCTTAAGACTTATTTCTAAATATTATTAAATAAAGTGTTAAGAAAATTCGTACAAGTATTAGATGATAATGTACTTTTAATGGATATACTCAATTATATAAGCAATTGATTCTTTTCCAAATGCTTACCTAACTTATCCAATAATAATGTTAGTGTTACAATTCCTTGCTTCAATTGAAGATTTAAACAAAATAAAACTAAAATTAACAAAATCTTATATAAAATCAATAATTCAAGAAAGATTAAATAATTAACTTTATTATTAATAATTACAAACAAATATTAGAAAAGCTAATCATAATCTTTGTATATAACTTTCAACTAACACTAATTACATATAGTATATTCTTTTTTTTTAAAAGAGAAAATAATTATTTCGTTTTGAGTTTATATTTTGTGTTAGGCATAATATATAAATGATTACTTTAATTTTGCTTTAATCAACATCCATGCACCTAGCTAATTGACATAAATATCAGTTAACACCAAATCAAAGGTATCATGTCATTGTGTCATCAAAGCCTATTTGAATTGACTTATTTTAGATGTTTTAACCCAAAATAGTAATTAAACATTTTAAAAGTATTTGGATAAATTTTAAAAAATGCTTATAAACACTACAATTTAAGCAAAAATAATAAAAATAAGCCAAAAGTATTTTAAAATTATAAGTCAAAAATAAAAAACTAATCCAAACAATATTTAGAAAGAAAAATTATAAATAAAATGTTGATTAGCTAACTTAAAAATTTGTATATAAAAAATCGATTTTTTGACCAAAACCATCCCTCAACTATACTCTATGTTTAAACCACATTTTTGCACTATCACAATGAACAAAAATCAGCCCTCAATTATCTTTAAAATGGCAAGATTCATCCTTCAATTAATTTTTGTCAAAAAACTAACGGTTGATCAACCCACAAATCCCCCATTTGTTTGCTCCCATTCTTCTCTTAGCTTATTGTAGTATAGACAATCTCAACTAAACTGAATGAGCTAGGAAAAGAGGTTTTCATTCTCAACTTCACAGTAGCAGTCAGGATGTTCCCATAAAAAGTGAGCAAAGTATTTAGTGCAAACTATTTTTCGCCCTATATAATTATTGATCAGATAAGCAACATAATATTATAAGAAAAAGTGTATAAATTTCTCTTTATTTCCTAGACAATGAGGGAATTAGAAGTTTTCAGGTAGTTTATTTTTATTTTATTTTTGGTGTAAATTTGATAAACACTAGTTGCTGTATTATTAAATATATAAAAGTAACATATTTAGATATTACAAAAAAATATTTGTTTGTTTCAATTTATGTGAAGCTTTTTGCTTCTTAAGATTCAAATGTGATTTTTTTATAAATATTTTGCTATATATTTTTCATCATATTGTCATGACAATAATTGCAACTTTAATATGTAAAAGAGGCCACATGTTTATCCATAGTTAATTCTAGCTTTATTTATGTGAAAGAAAATGAGTTTAACCGTTAGTTTCTATCAAGGAAAAAATTGAAAGGGTGAATCTGGTCATTTTTAGGATAATTAAGAGATGTTTTTTGCTCACTATGGTAGTAAAAGGATGTTTAAATTTAGAGCATATTTGAGGGATGTTTTTAGCTAAACGCAAGGGCGGCTGGCAAGGCTTGTAAAAAAGTCTTTGGCCTTAGGCCCCCAATTTTAGGGGGCCCCATTTTTTAGTTAATTAGGTAGGATTAAATTAAAAAAAAAATTAGAACTAAGACAATAAATGCAAAGGCCCCATTTTTTAGTTAATTAGGAAAGATTAAATTTTAAAAAAAATAAATTGTTAGACCTAATAAGTCAATAGTGTAAACGGCTAAATGAGGTGATAGTCATAGATATGACCATGACTTTTTAACTTTCCCATAAAAAGTTGAAAAGTTGTGTACCTTTTTTTAACTTACAAGTTTTCTTCTTTTTTTTACCTTATTTTGTTTTCTAATTTTATTTTTATATATTCTATTCTCCTCCCTTCTATTTCTTCTCACTTTCTCTTTTCTAATCTTACATCTCTCTCTTATTCAAAGCTAAAAAATTTTTACTTGTTCTATTGATAATTTATATTTTAAATTTGGAGAAAACTATATTGCAGCAGCCCGATTCATTTTTGGAAATCAAGTCTTCATAGCTTTTGAATTTGGTAATATCATTCTAATTTCTAATATTATTTTTGTTTTGTGTCTTATGTTTATTATATTTTTTATTTGATATTGTAAATAGTGTTTAAAATATTTGTTAGATTTTAATATGTCAACTAGAAAATATGAATCCGGTCATTCAAAACTTAAAAGAAAAAGAAAAGTCGACAACTTGATAAAATCTCAAAAAGGTGCTCTTGATAAATTTTTGGAAAACAATGATAAAATTAAATCAAAAAAGGTAGGGGAATGCTCTTTAGAAGAACAAGTTACAAACTTAGTTGAAGTTGAGTTAGATAATGATATAAACCAAAAAGAAGAAGAAGGAGAGGAAATTAGTGAAAAGTCGAATGTAGATTCCCAAGAAAATCAAGAACTTATAAATGAATTAAACAATCATACTCCTAAAAATATCTATGATCCTAGTCAATGGAATATTGTTGATACAAAGTTAAGAGACTTATTAGTAGAAAAGGGACCAATTAGAATTACCGACACATGTTTTCCAAAGGATAAATTTTTAAGGCACTTTTCTACTACATATTATTTTCAAAAGTTGGCAAATGGAGAAAGACATGAAAGAAGATGGTTAGTTTATTCCAAAGATTTGAATAAGGTATTTTGTTTTTGTTGTAAGTTATTTAATACGACCTTTAATGCAAAGAATAATAAGTTAGCTAATGAAGGTAGTAGAGATTGGAAAAATCTTACTACTAAGCTTAGAACCCATGAAACAACTAGCCAACATATTATTAATATGAGTTCATGGATTGATTTGGAATTTAGATTGCGTAATAATAAAACAATCGATAAAAACATTCAAGACCAAATTAATAGAGATAGAGAACATTGGAAAAATGTATTGTCAAGAATTATTTCCGTCATAAAAACTCTTGGAAGAAATAATTTGGCATTTAGGGGGAAAAATGAAAAAATCTATCAAGAAAATAACGGAAATTTCTTGAGTCTTATTGAAATGATTGCAGAATTTGATCCAATTATGCAAGAACATATTCGACGAATCAAACATGATGAAATTTATAATCATTATCTTGGACATAATATACAAAATGAATTAATAAATTTATTGGCAAGTGAAATTAAGAACAAGATTATTGAAAAAGTTATAAAAACAAAGTATTTCTCTATCATACTTGATTGCACGCCAGATACAAGTCATCAAGACCAAATGTAAATGTCTTTTATAATACGAAGTGTAGATATTTCGACAACTCCAATAAATGTAACCGAATATTTCTTAGAATTCTTAAAAGTGGATGATACAAGTGGAAAAGGTCTTTTTGAAGTTATTTTAGATGAAATAAAATGTATTGGACTTGATATTGATAATTTAAGAGGACAAGGATATGATAATGGGTCTAATATGAAGGGAAAACACCAAGGAGTGCAAAAAAGACTTCTTGATATAAATCCTAGATCATTTTATACACCATGTGGTTGTCATAATCTAAATTTGGTACTTTGTGATATGGTTAATTCTTGTACGAAAGCTATATCATTCTTTGGAGTGGTACAACGTATATATTCACTATTTTCTTCGTCTACTAAGCGGTGGAAAATTTTAAAAGATAGTGTACCTAGTTTAACTCTTAAATCATTGTCACAAACACGGTGGAAAAGTCGTATTGAAAGTGTTAAAGCAATAAGATTTCAAACTCCACAAATAAGAGATGCTTTATTTAAATTAGAAGAAGTTAGTGATGATCCAAAAATTAAAAGTGAAGCTAATTGTTTAGCAATTTTTGAGCTTGAAAATTTTGAATTTTTATTGGGTATGACTATTTGGTATGATGTACTATTTGCTGTAAATTCAATTAGCAAAAGTTTACAATCAAAAGATATGCATATTGATGTCGCTATAGATCAATTAAGAGGTTTAGTTTCTTTTTTTAAAACATATAGAGAAGAAGGATTTACAAGTGCTATGATTTCGGCTAAGGAAATTGCATTAGAGATGAATATTGAACCTGTATTTCGTAAAAAACGTGTAATTTATAGAAAAAAACAATTTGATGAGAATGTTGATAATGAAATCACAAGATCTCTTGAAGAATCATTTAGAGTTGATTACTTCTTATACATAGTAGACCAAGCCATCTTTTCACTTCAAAATAGATTTGAACAATTTGAAGTATATGAAAATATTTTTGGTTTTCTATTTAGTGGGAAAAAATTGAGATCATTAGATGATGAAAATTTTAAAAAATATTGTCTTAATTTTGAATGTTTCTTAAAACATAATACTCACTCCGATATTGACGGTTTAGACTTATTTTTTGAATTAAAAGTGTTAAGGGAAATCATAAAAGTAGAAGACAATACTCTAATTGAGATACTCAATCAAATAAAAAAACTTGATTCTTTTCCAAATGTTTACATTGCTTATAGAATAATGTTAACAATTCCCGTAACAGTCGCCTCAGCCAAAAGAAGTTTTTCAAAATTCAAAATAATAAAATCTTATTTAAGATCGACAATGTCTCAAGAAAGATTAAGTGGTTTGGCTATATTATCGATTGAAAAGGAATTATTATAAGAGACTGACTACACAAAAATTATTAACAACTTTGCATCTCAAAAAGCTAAAAAAATAGATTTAAAATAAAAATATTTATAATTTTTTTTAAAGGCCTCTAGTTTGATTTTGGCCTTAGCCACGGTTTGAGCCGCCCTGGCTAAACGTTTACTCAAACTCCGTATAAACAGTCGGAACTCCGAATCTGAAGTGTGGGGCTCCACAAAAAATCCGGCGCCGGAGATGGACCTCGTAGCAACCCTCCAGTCGGAACTGGAGACTCTTCGAAGCAGGATGAAGGTAACCTTTTGTTGATAATTTTTAAAATTTTTACATCAAACAATAGTTAATATTCCATTATCGCTGTTTATTGTGCTGAAATCTTCCACTGGAAAAACAGGAATTGGAATCTGAAAATGCTAAATTATCTGCTCAGCTTTCGAATTGCAGTTGCCAAGAGGTTATTGCTACTTCAACAGAATATCCAGTTTTTTTTTTTTTTTTTTTTTGATAAGGTATAGTTTTCAGATACATTTTTAATTTTCTATGTGAATTTTAATGTGCTGTTATTGCTATTTAGACAAAGGAGAAAGGTAATGGAAGTGTTCTGAAGAATGGAGTTTTGGAGGGTCATGGAAAGAAGAAAAATAAGCTCAGAGATTTAGGTTTGTATAAACTTCTTTTTTTGGTGATTGGAATGTATTGCTGTAGTTTTATATGCAATGTGAAAGCCGAAAGGGTGTCTAAAGTAGTTAAGTGTTAAAATTAGTGAAGAGAGTTGATTCGCTGATCTTCGTTTTTTCCCTTTTTTTATAACCATGGTGTCTAGGCCAGCTTGTGCACACCTCATCTAATTCCATGAGATACCTGTCAGCTTCCACTAGCAACACAGATACTAGGTAACTCTGTCCACCAAGGCTAGAAAAAATGGGAAGAAATCACGTAGTGTTTTTGTCTCTAATGGAATTTGAACTTGAGACCTCATGGTGCTCAACCCACTTCACTGACCATTAGGCCACACCCTTGGTTTAGCTATGGGTTTTCTTATGTACTGAATGAGCTATCACTTTATTTTAAGGTGTAATATGTCAGCTATCTTTACAAGTTGATACTGTAATTTGAATTGGAAACCTGCTGAAATGTTCCTCTTTCATTTTTTGATACTGTAATTCGAAATGGAGATTGCTGAAACGTTCCTGGTCTGTTTGTAGGTTATGGCGCAATGATGCATCACTCGAAAAGATATGTTGCTTTGAAAGTCATGTATTTTGGTCTGAGGTATACATCTTGCTAGCAGTTTAGTAGGATTGCACTGTGAATGTGGCCACTGAAAAGAGAGGAAGGAAGCTCTTAGTTGAGAACATGCAAAAGACTTTCATATTCTATTTGTGTAGGATTGGCTCTTCATCAATAGCAGTTAAGTTACTTAAGTGTGAACTGGAAGTAGAGCAAAAAAGTGTATGCAAAAAGGCTAAAAGTGGTTTAAAATATTTTGGGCAAGATAATTGTCAGCTTACTGATAAAAAAATTTATTTGGACAAGATAAATTTGGGCTTTTTACTTGTCCTTAAATTTCTTTTAGCCCTGTAAAACCATCTTGTTAGTCTTAAGCACAAAGGATGTAAGGTCTCAAGGGGACCAAAAGAAGAAAATAGAGGTAACAAAGAGATCACACAAATTTCAGTGGATTACTAAAGAAGAAAATAAGAGGTAACAAAGAGATCATACAATTTCAGTGGATTACTAAATGTTAAGTTCATAAACTCATTAGGGCATTGCTGTCTTCGTCAGACCATAGATGTGAACATAATATATAGCATAAGATTAGGCTATAAAGGAGGTGTTAACATTGGAAACAGTTGAAGAAAAGCTAAATGCACCTGAAAGAAAAAGGGGAAAGGATACTTGATTTCGTGTTAAGCTTATCTTGCAACCTCGACAAGATTTCTCGTACAGGAGAGTTTATTTCTGTTTTAAAAGAGCCTCAAACAAGGCAATACTTAAAACACAGCCCTCTTTAGGTAGCATCTAATCTTTAAGTTGGGTTTAACTGCTGAATACTTTAAATTTAAGCAACAAAGTTGGTGCTTATTGTTATTTGGATTTATTCACAGGCTTTGTCCTTCTTAGTTCCCAACAATAAGAATATTACAAAAGATATCTTATCCATTAACCAAACATCATCTTGTCTGATCATATTTTGTTATTTGACATTTGACTTCAGCCAAAAGTGAGCCACTTATCAGAAGACATTTATAATAATTTCATGAAGGAGTTTCAATCATATTTAGAAAAAAATTCCAATTTGAGATTGGGAAAAAAAAAAGAATAAGAATGCATGGTTCTAATTCATCAGATAGAATATTAAAAGAGGTGGATTAATTCATGAAATACATTTTTGATATTTTTATCTGGTGTTACTTCACGTTTGTTATAGTAATTTCTTCTACAACAATTCATCTAGAAGCAGAGATGAAGACATCTAATGCCACCTGGAAAAGGGGTGATGTACAACCAACTTAAGCTGCATCCTGATCCTAACTCCAAATGACCCTGTTAATAACTCTACATAGATTGTATGGTGGTTCCCTGAAGTATTAGGATGGAGCTCCTTTATTTCATTCTGGAATGCTAATGGTTGCTAGTGGATCTGTCACCTTTTTTCACTTTATGCAGATTAAGTGTGATTTAAGTATTAACTAAGCTGAAGGTGCATGTACATTGTGTTTCTACCATCCTATTTTAGTTGGAGTCTGCATTTTTTTACTTTATGCAAATATTAGCAAGTCCTTGTTTATACGGTAACAGTGTTCTCATGCTGCATTACAGGTTTTATGGTTTTGCTTCGGAGGCTCAAATGGATCCCACTGTTGAGGTCTTATGTTCTCCTCTAAGATGATTTTCTTTTAAGAATTGGGCCAGCATTTAATGTGACGGACATAGACTAACCAAGTACATGCAACAATATATTCTACATGTTTTGGTCTTACTCCTTTTTAAAATCATAGTCCATTTTTCCCGTCCTTTAAATTGAGAGACTTAAAGGACTGAAAGAGTTAATCTGGTGCTTTTCTGGGAGAATATTGTTTCCTTGCATGTATTGCACAATTTGCACTATTTAATCTTTGCACAAGTTGTTTTGGACTTTTGGTGCCTCTTCTCTCCAGTGGTAGCGCTTGGGTGACTATTGTTCGCATTTTAGTATCTCAATAGAGTATTTTGTTTGCATATGCCGATGGTTTCTTCATGCAGGGTGAAATTTTCAAAGCTCTAGAGAGGACAAGACTCATATTTGGAGACAAGAAGGAATTGCAATACTCACGATGTGGTAGAACCGATAAGGGAGTTTCCTCTGTTGGCCAAGTAAGTTGAAGAGCAATTAATTTGTTGTATGTTTGTTCACTAAAAGGTAACCTATATTTTGACAATGGTTTTTTTTTGTTTTGATAATTTGACACATATCCCAAGAGAGAGAAAATATGAAACTTAATTCTTTTTGATGAAGTAAATGTTCCATTGAAGGCATCAAGAAGATGCAAATTAGATACAAAAGTAGAAGCAAAAACAGTTGGTCTGCTGGCTCAAGTACAATTATGCTAAAACTAAGGAGCCAACAAAATTTGAAAAACTATCCAGGGAATCTACATAGGACAAATTAACCCAACTGTACAGACACATAAGGCATTCCGCTTTGAGAGAATGTAAAGGAGTTGATAGACCTTCAAAACATCTTCTGTTCCTTTCCCTCCAAATACTCCAAAAAATTGCTGCAGGTATCATCTTCCAAGTCTGTTTGATGGTGCTGTCAACTTTCCAGCAACACCAACTCTCATAAGCTTCTTTGATACTATGTGGCATGACCCAACTGAGTCCAAAAAGAGAGTAAAACATGTTCCACAATTTTGCTGTAACAGTACAATGCAGAAAAAGGTGCCTATTGCTCTCTGCTGCTTTCTGACATAAGTAGCATCCATTCACAATGATGCGTTTCCTTTTATAGAGGTTGTCTTGAGTTAGGCATGCTTCATATAGTGCAGTCCAGCAAAAACAGACGATCTTGGGCGGTAGCTTGATTTTCCAAATTAATTTCCATGGCCAGTGGTCAGTGACTGCATTAAATGCTCTTGACTGCTTGTAGGCTGCACTCACTGTGTAATTCCCGTCTCCTGTAATACCCCATTTGAACTGATCTGTTGCCTGAGTGTTGAGAGAGAAACTCTGTAGAGTCTGTAGTAGTTTGATCAGGTCATTAAACTCCCAATCCTGCATATTCCTTCTAAACATAATGCTCCAGGTTGTTCCATCTCTATTTTGAGAAATTGTTGAGTCTGGATCCCTGGCTAAGTTGAAAAGACTTGGATAATTGTTATTTATGATTATAATTATTATTTTCTAATTTCATTTTCATTCTTTTTCTTCGTTTGCGCCTTCCTATATTAAATCCCGAACTTTATTTGTGCATTGTCTTAAAGCCTCAATCTAACTTATCCCTTTTTTGCGTTTCTCATCTTTGATATCACTCTCTTTTTTATGTCTTTTAAAACATATGAAATACTTGTTGCAGGTGATTGCTCTGTTCTTAAGATCAAACCATAGGGAATCAAGAGGGGACAATAAGTATCCTGGGGAAAATTCTATTGAAGAATCATGTGGTCTGCTGATATCTCCTTTCAATGTACTACTATGTTTTGCCTTTCTGATTGTCATCTGCCATGTACTTACTGTAATGCGATTTGGCACACATCAGTTGCCTTCCATTTTCCCAACATTGCCTCTTATCTTCTTTCTATGCAAGTTCTGGTAGTGTAGTTTTATGGCTATTAGGTGGCCATCTTTAGAGATTGATTATGTTGGAGTACTTGGATTGCACTTTGATAAGACCTTGTATGTTTCACCAAAACCAAGACACAGATATCTCTAATTCACATTGACTACTAAAGATGTGCAAAAAGAAATTGAAGCTTCAAATCTTCCTAATTCTTTTAGTTATGGCTTCCCTAATATCAATTTGTTGCTTTCATTTTCAGTTATTACTTACCTTTTGACACAGTTTTACCTTCACCTAGGAGAAATCGACTATGTAAGAGTACTAAATCGAGTTCTGCCAAATGACATTCGCATTATGGGTTGGTCTCCTATTCCAGTTGGTTTCAGTGCAAGGTTTGTACTGCTTTGTATAACTTATGCTCTCAGCAATCGTTTAGATAGTTAGTTCTTGTTTGTTAAAAGCATTTCAAACCACCTAACTCTTTCTAAAATGTCATGCTTTCTTTCAGTATGCGTACTGGACTTCATAGTATCATGCTTTTGATAATACCTAGGACAGAAATATTTTGCATTTAGCAGGGTGTGGCCTAGTGGTTTCTGAAGTGAGTGCAAACCTTGGAGACCAAGGTCCAATAGTTGAGATGTGCACAAGATTGTCCCGGCATTACCATTACCCCCCCAAAAAAGAAACATTCAAGTAGCATATGAGGTCTTGAATACAATCCACAAGGTAGGGGGTAAGGTTTGCGTACACTTTACCCTCCTCTGGCCCCACCTGTGGGATTACACTGGGTTTGTTGTTGTTGTAGAAATAGATTAAATTTAAAATAGGGCGGAACTCTTAAACCTTCATACAAAATCTTATTAGGGATCTCAGCTTCTCGTGAAAATGTGCAATGCTAAACTCTATTTGGTAACTTATTATAGGCACAATTTATCAAGTTGATGTAGTTTCTAGGTATATTAGGTGCACTAATGACTAAACCTGAAAAAAGTATGTCATGGATCCCCTTGAAGTCAACTTTGGCATCCTTATCTCCTCAAAGTTGAGAAGTTATACCATAGTTTTTTCAGTTCTTCATTATAGTTTTACAGCCTTTTTGCCTTTCAATAATTGCAGGTTCAGTTGTTTGAGCAGGGTGTACAAGTACTTCTTTTGGCAGGGAAACTTGAATATAACAGTGTGTACCTTTCCTTCTGAAATCAGTTGACCTGGTTATGCTGATTTACTCCAATTTTCAGCTAAACACTCCTGAATTGCTCAACAGGCCATGCAAACTGCTGCTGAGAAATTCTTAGGGGAACATGATTTCAGAAATTTTTGCAAAATGGATGCAGACAATGTGCACAATTACCTGCGGCACATAATATCGTTTGAAATTCTCCCCTTCAATGAAAGGTTTTCTAGTATTACTTGACACTCTGCTTTTTCTACTTATTCTCTACTTGTAGAGAGAGGATTAATAAATTGACTAGTGTGATCTTCTTGAAGTTTTATGACGCTTTGACTTATTTCCTCTCCTGATTTGGTCGTAATTTTGTAATTGTTTTCTTTGAAGCTGTGGTCCTCTTGTTTCAAAAAGTCAAAGAAAGTTGCTACATTAAGCAGATAAGTTATGTTAGGAAAAAACTATATCTGTTCCCATGAAAGTTGATAATAAGGAGTATTAAGCTATATTTTAAGACGGCGTGCGATGTGAAGATTGAGAAATCCTAGATACTGCTTTCCCCTTACGGCGTTGTCACCTGACATACATTATGCAGAAATATTTGCAAATACTTGTAAATATGCAATTGGATAGTTGGATAGGTGATTGTTTTATTTTTCATTTTCCTTCTTTTGGATAATGATGGTAACATTTTATGAATATCTAGAGATCTTAAAACTAGCTGAAATCTGTGTCCTTTTGTCTTCTTTTTGCAAGTGCCTCTGAGTTTTTGGGTATTTTTCCTTAATTTTGTATCATTTGTCTAGTTATTTCATGTTTGTGTAGTGTTAAGTTTGTTTATGGTCAGTACTAATTTGGACAAGAACTCTATCTAGTTTTTTATCAGCAATTTAGAGCAGCTTCCTACACGATGTACTCTTTTGCTCATCATCTAAAATTTCTTACTGAAACCGGCTATTGGCTTTTTTAATACTATCCATATACTGATATACATATTGAAATGCTTTTCACGCCTTTATGTATTTTTTAATTGTAGTGACAAAGCTGATCAACTCATGATAATGAAAATCAAAGGCAGTGCTTTCCTTTGGCATCAAGTCCGGTGCATGGTTGCCGTACTATTTCTGATTGGCCAGGGTCTTGAGTCCCCTAATGTATGAAATTCATGTCCTAACAATATTTTCTCTGAAACCTGTTGCTGAAACCTTTCAATTGATGTGATCCATTTTCTGGAGAACTTAAGATTTTTCCTTTTGCTTCTTTTAGAACAATAACTAAAGTTTTGTCAATTTTGTGATGAAAACTGAAGCAGCCTGTGGAGTTCGCCATAATTATATATAATACCAGATCACTGGTCAACCAAGACTACTCAACCTTGTTATAGAATGCTTTTTGTGTACTCACCACCATGCGAGTAGAATTGGGGTAGTTCGTGTATGCTTCTTGAATCTGATAGACCTTTTCAGTTTGTTCTGAGTTGATTGAAGCCATTGATGTTTGGGCAGGTTGGGCTTTCTGCTATGTGGACATCTCTTTGATGACTCAATCTTAAAATATATGAATAAACAAATAGATAATTTGCTTAATCGTGATTCTATGATATATGTAAAATGCACAACCCATTTTCTAAGCACTGCTCGTATTTCTCAAATTTTCCTCAACGTCCTAATTGGACATAGCTTTCAGGGTTGTCTATGTAAAACCATTGTGTTGAATGGATCTTATGGTGATGTATTCTAATTCATGTATCTTATCATAAGGCATTTTTTCAATTATGAAATCGTAGGTAATTGATTTGCTACTGGATATAGAAAGAACACCACGGAAACCTCAGTTCCCAATGGCTCCAGAAATACCTCTAGTTCTTCAATCCTGTGAATTCGAAGGTCTCAAATTTATTTGTTCATCAGGTACTTGAATGGTATTTATATCCAGAATGCTTTAGTCTTAACTCTTATATCAGTTCCATTTTTCTTTCTAAGAAATTTTAGGATCTGCAAAAACTAAATTTCCTCTGTTTTTATTTTACGTGATGTTAGGTAAGGGTAATCATGTTTTAATTTTATTGTTTCTTATGGTTCATTCTCTTTTCCTGGATCTTGTCAGCATATCTGTATGGGTTATCAACTTTACCCATTTTTCCCTAACATAACCCGGTATTAACTCAATGAATTGCTATTAGCAGCACTCTAATCTCATTTAGGAGCTTTGGCACTATTGCATTTGTTGTTTTGTATTCACTGTAGACTGATGATATTGTCAACTTGATTGTGAGTTTTCCTTTGTTCAATAAGGTAACTTGATTACGAGTCTATGATGTTGAAGTAGTAGTACCAAATAATAAACAATTTGAACCCTTTGGGGTGGCCCAGTGGTTTGGGCTTGGGACTTCCATGTTGGAGGTCTCAAGTTCGAAACCCCTTGCCAGCGAAAGCAAGGGGTTTCTCTTCTGGGTCGAGCTCGTCGCACCGGACTTGCCTAGCGCAGGTTATCTCTCCTATGTGGTTTGCGAGCTATTGCATAGGAGCTGGGGTTTTACCCTATGCGCACCCAAAGGGTAGCGGCTGCGGGTTTCCCTTGTCATAAAAAAAAACAATTTCTTTGAGTGGTATTCATCAATAATTCGTTCTTTTCTGGACTTGTTCCATAAGGAGCTATAGTTCGCCCAATATATACATCCTTTTCTTTTAGTGGGTGTCACAACATAGTGGCCTCCTAAGTTGCACGGATTCTTCACTTTCGATGCCGCACCTGTGTCGGATTCTCCTAAAATACACTACTTTTAGCGAATCCGACACGCACCCCTTGACATTTTTGAAGAGTCCGAGCAACATAAGTGGCCTCTCTTCAAAAGATTGTTTTTTGTGATTATATATAATGTTCAAAAAGAATGCTTTTGTGATTATGATTTCATTTTACTCAAGTCCCTCATCTCCTTTCCTTGTGACTGTTTTTGGGGGAAAATAGACATCAATATTTGATATTTGTGAAGGTTGTGATTTATACCATGTGTTTTTTTTGTTAGACAACTTTTATTGCGCTAATTGGATAACGTACAAACACTTTTGTGGACATTTTTCCCAGATACAAAGCAGTCTTTGAATGAACATTTGGAGTGGGAATGCCGAAGTTATAAACTTCAATCCGCAATTTTTCATGAAGCTTTGCTAAACTCATCATGTATTGAAATTGGTAGGTCATTCAGTACTTGTACTTGAAATTTTTGCAGACATTTTCCACCTACAGCATATTTCTAAGCTATAGAACTTGTTTTTTCTTAGTCAGTATAATAATCCTGATTGAATTTTCAATTTCAGACAACAATATATCAAGTAACTATACCAAGAAGAAAGGAGCTTCCCACATTCCTCTATTGTCTCGACCAACTGAGCGTAAATTCTTCTGGATCTTTTAGCTCTTTTCATTCATTTGATAAAACTTGCTTGAATTTGGTACTTTTGACTGTGCTATAAACATCAATATTAACATGTTCTTGAAAAGAGTTAATGGTTAAAAACACCTCAACTATCACTTCTACGTGAGTTTCATACCCCAACTATCAATTGTTCCCTTTTTACTCATTCACGCGCCCCTCAAATGTGAGACTATACATGCTCTGAAAATGGGTCAAAAAGGTGTATTTATTGTGATTGAAATTGGTTTCGTGAAGTAATAGGACCTCCGCATTTAGGTATCTACTTTTTAAAAAAGGGTGCAAGTTAGGATGGGACCTTATGTCTTTTGCTTACACATAATGATGATCATCGTGGTTTGATCTCAACTAACCTTGGAACATTTTCCAGCATCATATGAAGAGCGGCGTAAAAAGTCGGATGCATGAGCTGGAATGGAATGCCAAAGATAGAAAGTGAATTAGGGGAGATGAAATGAATGAGTCTTTTTTTTTCTTTCTAATTTTATCTTGTTGTAGCATTAATTTGTACATCGTAATATGTTTTATCCTGACATTAATAAGGAGTATTTTTCTATTGCACTTCACTTTATATCTGCAACTGGCTTTGTGCATTGTTTTTTGAGGAGATAACATAAAACATATCATTATTGGTTTCCGCCAGTTAACTGTTTCGGATGGCATGTATCTGATGGCTCAGATACATATATCTTAGATACACGTGAGTCAAATTAGGTCTAATATATTTAGATACATATATCACCAACCGCAAGGGTTCTCTTCTTGGCCTAATAGACTTGACAATTCCCTTCCTGTCATATTCATATACATTGTGCCAACTACAGTGGTTCTAACTAGTTCAGTATGTGCATTCTTCCCATTAGCACGAGTCTCAATCCAACACACTTTCTTTATCCATTCCATTGCGCTTATTATGTCTTGTTCCAAACTACAATAAAAAAGAGCATTTAAGAACAAGTGATCAATTGGTTCCTCTTGTGCTTCACACAAAGGGCTGAGATTCCGATCAATCAACTTCCACTTCAACAATCAATCTCTTATGTATAGTCTATTGAAAATTGTTAAATAGAGTACGAAAATCCATTTGAATTTTCCAGAATTATTGCATTTAAGTCCCTATCAATGTGCTTTCTGATAAGTACCTCCAAGTTTTGTATACAAGGTGTGTTCTCATTTATTCCATAATTTGTCCTTTTTTTTCATAGATTTCATAACATCTTGCATATTGGCGCCAACCTTATTCCATGTTTGGACATGTAGAATATTGAGTCATCGTGTTCTTCATGGCAAACATAATTGTTCTCAAGACATCAAATTATTATTTTTGGAGGAAGTGCTACCTCCCGTTCATAGGAATATTCAGTATATTATGTTCTAAAAAGTCTTAATGAATATTACGAATAATATTTATGTACTTTTATTTTAAAAAATTCCGCTCGTGTAAAAAGATAAAATATTGCAATGTTAAAAAACATAGTATAATATATAATTATACAATATTTAATGCTTATAAACATATAAATATTATGTTCGAATTTATTTTTACTTTTATAGTGACTTAAGAAGTCTATAAATGATTTAGATAAAAATTAAATTATTAATTATGTATTTTTTTTAATTCACTAAAATAGAATATGAGTAGTATAAATAAGTAAGTAACCAAATATTTTTTAAACAATCTCTAATTCTCTCAAAATCTGCAAATTATGGCATTCCCTTATCACCAACTCTACGTTCATCACCAATATCCTCTCCCAAGTCTGGAGTTCAACGCCTTTCTAGTTAGGCATCACCTCCCCAAACCCTAGACTTCAACACCCTTCTTCCTAGGCGTCTTCAAATCCAAGAATCTAGCATTCACATTTCATATTGGAATTGCATTTTCTTTATCAAGGTATTTCTGTATTATTGGCTGCTGCAATGACATCTTGTGTTTGTCAGACTATTTGATTGGTATGATCAAGAATTTGGTTCTGCGGAACTCTTTTTTTTCAAGAATTTAATTAAGATTCGGTCCTGATACATCTAGTTAGATTTGGTGTTCTATAATTTGGTTAGAATTATGTATACAAAATATTATTATAATAACATCTTTTCCTCTTCTGCAAATTGATTTTTTTTAATTAACTGCTCAAGCTAATCAGTGTCGTAAAGCCAAAAATAAATTGGAGACCTTAAATTTTTAATTTTTTAAAAATAATATTTGAGCCTTTTAAAATGTAGAATTGTTAGTATATTTAACATCAATTTGATATGCAAAATTATTTCTACCTATTAATAAAAAAAGTTTAATTTTTCGCTAAATAATACTCCATTTGTTTTAATTTTTTGTCCTATTTTGACTTGACACGAATTTTAAAAAATTAAAGAAGATTATTGAATTTTATGATTTTAAACAAAATCAGATATATATATACCAAAATATCTTTTAATCTTGTGGTTTTAAACCTCTCATGTGGAAACTTAAGTTTAAAAATTGATAAGAAAGAAAAAAACATTCTTTAATACTTTGAAACGGACTAAAAAAATAAGACAAATAAATAAAAAGACACAATATACTCATTTCTCTTTAAAAAAAACTTATAATTACTTTATTATAACAGGAAAAATAAGGTCCCTCAAATTTGGGGCCTAAGAAGGATGCCTCATTTTTGAAGACATTAAGTCGTCCTTGATTTGGAAGAGAAAGTTGAGGCTTAAGATTAAGCACTATATATATAGTGAAGTCTTCTTGATCTTAGGCTTTTGTAAATGGAGCTATACATGCGATGGCGTGTAACCTTTTTTTAGTGGTGGTCCTCATTAGAATTTAGTTATGGCTTTTAACATAGTGGATGAGATGTTTGGGGAGATTATGTTGCCGAAGGCTTTAGTTGGTGCACGTGTATCAGATTTATCGATTTTGTTATTTGAGCTATCAGTTATTGTTGTTAAGTATGTGAGGGAGAGAAAACGTGTTCCATGTGAAATATGGGTGATGAAGTAGTATGGAGAATTTTATTCTTGAAGTAAATTGTATCGTATAAATTTGATTTGGGATATGGAGCAATTAGTTGGATTTAGGATCAATGGTGAAGTTTTGATTACAAGTTGCAGCAACAATCTAGTTTCTTAAGATCCAAATAGTGGAGAAAATAGGGATCTTGGTATTCAAGATATTGATCCCTCGTTGTATGTTCTGAATTACAAGAAATCACTTATCTTGCACAATGAGAACAATGTCATTTCGGGTAGGGTCTTGGAAAGAAGTGAAGATTATTGTGTTTCTACTTTGTCGAAGAAACATAGAAAAATGTGATAAGAAGGTAAGACATTTTACCAAAGTTCATGGTTGTTTAAGATAGTGAAAGTGGAAGATGTTTTATCAAATTTTGTATACCTAGTTTAGAAAATGTACTGAATGTTGAACTTTTTGCGTTACATAAGTTGTTAATGTACTCTTGTTGCCTTTCGATGTATTTGTTAGTGTACTCTTGTTGCCTTTTGATGTATTTCTGATTTATTGTGAAACCTTATCCTAATCAAGTGATGAACCTTATCTTGATCAGTCGGCAATCATATTATTTAGTTATAGCTACTGTGATGTTACTACCTGGTCATGTTCATTGTTTTTGTTTTCGTGTGTTGCTGATTTGATGGTGACTTCAAATTTATTTTTAAAGCAAATTTTACCAGAAATTTCTTCTACAACAAGGGTTGTTGTCTTCTGACTCCTCCTACTTTCCTCTAAATTTTTGAGAGAAATCCTGTCGAAATTGCTGCTAAATCCTTAAGTCGATTCACAGTTATCCAAATCATGATTCGTGCCCGTTTGGATGGGATTTTAAGTAAAAGTCAGTTTTTAACTTGTTACAGTGTTTGACAATTATCAGAATAACTTATTTTAAGTCAAAAGTGACTTATTTTAAGTTAAAAGTTAAAAGTAAGGTGATCCTACTTTATTTTTTAACTTAAAAATCATTCTACTTTAACAAAGTATATTACATTTTTAACCTTAATTCTTTTAAACAATTCCCAAATTGCCCCTGTTGAATTAAAACCCTAATATCTCTTTCTCTCAAGTCCATTTTAAATTCAAAACTTGTCACTCCCCGAGCCTACACCCCAAGAGTGGTTGGCACTCGAGAACCATTGCTGGCCCCAAGCGAACCCTTAGCCTGACTTACTTACTTAGCGGAAGACTTTAAGCATTAATAAAAGAACTCAAATGCAAGATAACTCAACTGTCTCAAACTAAACTCATAATGATTTAAAAAAAAACATTTAACTAAGCCAAAGTGGCAACTCAAATCTGAACATAAGCCAATAGCAAGATAAAGACAAATGAACTAATTGACTATCTATTTATGAAGCCTCTAATAACTGAGATGGATGTCGGGACAAGACCCCCGATCATCCTAACAACTGAAAACTACTAAAGCAATATAAACAGGGATCCTCCGAAAAGCAAGGAGGCTCATCACAAGACTCTGAATGCTCAACTGGATCAACGAGGGGCTGGGTGATGATCCTGGTTACCTGAATCTGCATCATGATAAGATGCAGGCCAACTGGCATCAGTACATTGAATGTACGAGCATGCGAGTTGGAATGTTAAACACAACATAGGCTTGAAAAGAATCTGAAAGGAACACTTACCTTGGCTTTACTCAACTCCTGAATAACTTAACTCATTATAAAGAATAAAACATATACAATATATAGAAAGCTTGTAAAAAAATAGTGGAAAACAACTTAGTTCGTTAAAGAAAATGCAATAACAAACTCAACTTTACTCATATAATAAAGTAATATAGTTTATGTAGGAGATTCTCTAACCGACAACCCCCACTATGAGCCTAAGTGGTGATACAACGTCTTGCCCACACTACCAGAATTGTCCTATACTTTGCCATCATATAGAACACTTAACAAAGTGGATCCACTAGTCTATGCTAAAAAGCAACTTAATGAGTCATCTAAAAAGTATGATCATGTACTACCCATGATGGCTACATGGTTTATGGATACTTGAGTTAATATGAACTCGCATCCCCATATTGTTGCACAATACTACTCCCAAAATATACTTAGCTCATATATTTTAAATCAAAACTTCTTTCTTTGGTTTGAGATTTCTCTTGGAAATCGATGTTTCACTTTCTTGTTCAAATGTGAAAACATTTTAAACTCTTGGGAATACTTAGTTCCCTTATATTTCTTTGAAGAAATGAACTTCAATCTTTACTCTTTACTCAACTCGAACTTTAAGTCTTAAAACAAGGTTAAAATGTTTGTGAAAAACTTTTGAAAACTTTATAAACTTCTCTTTGACTTGCTTCTTAACTTCTAGACTTGACTCTTAACTTTCCTTGAATTGAATTATGGATTCAAGGTTCATGATCTCATGTTTATGGATGATTTCATGATGTTTAGATGTACCTAAGAGTGTTGGAATCAACTAGAAAATATAGATACATTGCTAAGGAACTAGTACGGAAAGTTGAGGAAGAAATGAGAAGAACTGGCGTCCCTGACGCTCTAAGAGGTGCGGGGCGTCAGAGCACAAACTTCAGAGCTGAAGTTGTGGCGCTCTGGCAAGCGCGTCGCCCTAGAGCCCAAACTTCAGACTCTGAAGTGGGGCTCTCTGTGAGGCGCGACGCCCCAAGCCCTTGCCCAGAAAATCCCCAATTTTTCTCCTTCGTTTTTCATCTCTAAACCCTCTAAACTCCAATGGTTCTTTCCCCAAATGTTTAGAATCGACTAAACCCTCAAAATACATCAGATTCTACTCGAAATCACACCTAAAAACATGAAATAAACTCAAGAAAACTTCAACAACACAACCCACAAGAATTCAAACGAATTTCATCAAGAACTCAAAGGATTTACTTTCAAATCTAATATACTTTGCTGAATTGAATCATGATTGGCGCGTGAGTGAACTAACCCAACGCTATGTGATCTCACATACCTCGTAGGGATCACCCCCTGACGTAATCCACAAGCTAAACTCGAACGTTCTTGACGATTCTTGATTTCTTCTCCTTTCTCCTCTTTTCTCCAAGCCCTAGCGTAAACTTCAACTTTTCTAAACTGACTAAAATCTGACTTTACCCCAATTAAATTCCTAAAAACGAATTAGAACAATTGGTAAGGAAAAGACTAAAAATACCCTTCCAAAATCCGGATTAGACTTTCCTTATTTAAACAACCCAACTTCCAAAGGACATATCTCACTCATACGAACTCGAAATCACGCAAACTTGGCGGCGTTGGAAAGATTATTCCAAGAGTTTTCCTACCATATCTGGAATTACACCTAACTTATCATTAGCTAGGAGTTATTGCCATTTGAAGCTGATCAAAACTCAACTTATTCTAACTTAACAAAATTTTCAGATTTTCATTCTTTCCAAAAACGACTATTTCCAATTATTAATTGCTTCCTAGTTATTTTAATTTGCGACATGTTACAAAACTCAAATTAAACCTAGAAAAAGTTGAAAAATCTGAAAATCAATCTGCTGCTGGTTTCCAAACCATTTCGTTGATAGCCATTGAACTGGAGCTGAAGTTTTATGTATCAGTTGTTGCCACTTTAGAAATATAAGAAAAAAACTAACTCGAGAAGTTGAAAGCCCCGAGTCAGGGATTTGTTCCGAATGAGTACTGTTTCGATCGATTTTTGTTGCTGATTCCAGTCTGTTTCGTGGTTACCCATTGAGTTTGGAGAGGAACAATTTGAAGAAGAAGAAAATTCGCCGTTAAAGCTCCATCGAAGCTCAAGTTCGAAAAGTTGGATTGCCGCAAACAAGCTTCGTTTTCGGCTTAATATTATTGCAAAAGATTAGGAACGTCTTGGAGAGCTCATATCTCATATTTGGGATAATTTGGTGGAGGATTCGGCCGACTTTCAGCTGCAAATTGGTTGGGTAAAAAGAAGAATGCTGAATTTTAATAACTTTTTATTATGTTAACAGCTTTAAGGTATTTCAGACATTTTGATTTTAAAAAAAAAGTGTTTAACAACATTTATTTGCCAAACACACTTTTATTGGCCGGAAATGCAATTTGTGCTTTTTGGCCCGTCCGGTAAAATAGATAAAACACCACCGGAGATCAATTTCCGAACAACCGCTGTTCCTTCCGGCCAACCTCCGCTCGAACTTGAGTTGTAAGTTTCTTCGTTGCACTCTCTTTTCTGTATTACTCTAATCCAATAATTTCTAACGCTGAATTACTAATTGTGAACTGTGCTGCAATGCATTCTGTAATTGTTAACTTTGAGTTTTTTCATGATTATTCGCTTCTCATATTAGTCAATTTTATGAAAAACTCCCCTTATAGCATTGTCAGCACTTGTAAAATCGTCAAAAAAAAAGAAAAACATTTTTAGTGCTTGTTATATAGTTATAAGCTATGTTACTCAGGCTTGCAAAAAAATCAGATCTTCCAAAAATGCTCTACTTTTGGAGGATCTGATATGCACTTACCAACATTTTTGAAGCGTATGAGGAACATAAGTTGTTATGATATTATTACAGGGAATGAGACTTGAATCTGACATCGGCTTCGTGGGGAGCTGATGTGGGGCTTATATTGCCTTGGACTCTCCCACTTCAACAACAACAACATACCCAGTGAAATCCCACTAGGGGACTCTCCCACTTCAATAGCTTCAATTTCCAACCATCTCAAATCAGTTAATATTAAATATTTCAAAAATTCAACAAAGTTCGTATAATTCAGGATCCTAACTTGTTTGTTCAGGTATTAATTTCACTTTAGTAAGAATAGGTGTGTAATAGGTCGCCATACTAGTTTGAGCGTGAAGTCGACTTTTCGGGACAAGTTTAGGATGGGATCTATGTCTTTTTCCTATTTGTAATATCCCAGTTAGTCCATGTCTCCATCAATACAGCCATTTGAGTTAAAAACTACAATGTAAGGGAACTTGATCTTTTTTGGTTGACTAGTAGTTTTGTAAACAATCTTTGTCTGCCAAGATCTTAAGTTACATCAAGAAAAGGTTGCAGTACTTACATATAAAGTTGTCAGTGCCTTAGTATGTAGTAATGTTTCTTTTTTTGTCAGACATGCTTCAAAATTTGTTAGGTCGACAGAATCAGCTTGTTAAAATTTTTACATCAGCTGCAAGCAATGCTACTTTGAGAACAATTTGTCTGTATATCTTTGAATTGGATCATGTAATTGCAATGGTTTCTGATTTGTCATATATTTTAGTGGCGAATTTTAGTTTTGAGGCTATTACACTATTTCCGTTCCTCATTCTTTGGTATTTCTGGGTTTGTTTGTGCAGATTCTAGTATAATGTTCTATTATTTCCAGGATACAATGTCATAATACTTTATTACTCGTGGTTTTCTGGATAGTGTTATCTTTATGGCATGCTCCTTACGAAAAGCTATCACAGTTTGCTCTGTCTTCCGAAAAAGCTATTCTTCCATTGTTGTTGTCGCTTCAAATGCCATCAGATTGACCTACAATAGCACATATGTGCCCCAATATTTGGGAACAGAGTTCTCAATTTCATATGAAAACTATAAACCAGGAGGTGTGATGTTTTCTCGACAGTTCGGTTCCAGTAGAGAGTCAGAGACATTATCTTGGGGAGTGTCATCTGACGTTGTTTTGCTGGGAAAGCTTGAAAGTGCATTGAGGAATCACAACTTGGAAGAGGCTTGGGAAACCTACAAAGATTTCAAACGTCTTTACGGTTTTCCTAACCCCTTTCTTGTAGATAAGCTTCTCACTGAGTTGTCATACTCATCTGATTCTAGATGGCTTAAAAGGGCATGCAATATGGTAGGATCTATTTTGAAAGAGAAAAGGGAGATGCTACGCACAGAGTTAATGACCAAGCTCTGCCTATCGTTGGCTAGAGCTCAAATGCCCGTTCAAGCATCATCAATTCTCAGACTGATGTTGGACAAAGGAAATCTCCCACCTATTGACATGCTAGGGATGATAATGTTTCACATGGTGAAGACTGATACTGGAATGATTGTGTCATCAAACATTTTGATTGAGGTATATGGTAGCTCTCAACAATTAACCACAAAGAAATCCACTTGCACTGAGTTAAATAAACATAATACACTTCTTTTTAATCTTGTTCTTGATGCTTGTGCAAGATTTGGATCATCCAGTAAAGGCCATCAGATTATTGAGTTAATGGCCCAAGTTGGAGTGACAGCTGATGCTCATACTATTTCAATTATTTCCTTGATCCATGAGATGAATGGTCTGCGGGATGAATTAAAGAAATTTAAGAAGCATATAGATCAGGTTTCAGTTCCATTGGTTTCCTGCTATCAGCAATTCTATGAAAGTCTCTTGTGTTTACATTTCAAGTTTAATGATATTAATGCTGCTTCTGATCTTGTACAAGATATTTACGGATTTCAAGTGTCACATCACGAGCAGGGAAATGTAACACAACCACCTAAACCGTGCCTTGTTGCTATTGGCTCTGATAATCTGAGAACGGGATTGAAGTTACGAATTTTTCCTCATTCATTATCAAGGGATTCTGTTTTCAATGTGGGACGTAATCAGGTGCTTGTTATGTATAAGAATGGGAAACTTGTCCTTAGCAACAGAGCATTGGCCAAGCTTATTATACAGTACAAGAGGAGTGGGAGAATTAATGATCTGTCAAAGCTTCTCTGTAGTATCCAGAAGAAGGGCTCAGTTGAATCTAGCAGAATGTGTTCTGATGTGGTTGCTGCTTGCATTTGCATGGGTTGGCTTGAAATTGCTCATGATATTTTGGATGATTTGGATTCTGAAGGAAATCCGCTGGACGCTAGTTCATACGTGTCTCTGTTGACTGCATATTGCAACAATAATAAGCTAAGGGAGGCAGAGGCACTACTAAAGCAATTAAGAAAATCAGGTGTCATAAATGCATCTGATCCATTGTTAGCTCCTGCATCTATGTGTGAACTGGAAACTGAAAGCAAGAATAAGCTGAAAGAATTAGGCTCTTTGGCGAAAGGGGAGCTGGCTTACCATATTGTTGAAGAAATGAGAGCTGAAGAAAATGAAGCTTCTTTTATGATGCATGATTTAAATTTTTCTATCTACTTTTTTATGAAGGCTCACATGGTTGAAGATGCCGTTAGGGCTTACCGAAAAATGCAGGCAATGAAGATCCATCCTACAGTGTCAACTTTCATGAATCTGCTTAACGGGTATTCTTCTTTAGGGATGTATCGTGAAATTACAATCTTGTGGGGAGATATTAAAAGGAACATGGAAAGTCGTAAGAACTTGAATACCAGGGATTTATACGAGTTCTTGCTGTTGAATTTTCTTCGAGGCGGTTATTTTCATAGGGTGATGGAGGTTATTGGTTTAATGAAAGAAAATGGCATGTATTTGGACAAGTGGATGTATAGACGTGAGTTCTTGAAATATCACAAGGGTCTTTACCTAAGAATAAAAGTATCTGATGCTAAAAATGATGTACAAACTCAGAGGATTGAGCATGTGAGGCACTTTAGGAAGTGGGTTGGCCTGGATTAATTCTTTTAGGTATCAAGAAATATTCTTCTTGCACGCTGGGGAAAGAGTCAAGACAATATTGAGCCATCCTTTGCCAAATTTTGACAGGCTTCTCTCCATTTTTGTCTACCTGAGATGTGCAGTACATCTGGGGTGGGGGGTCATTGTTTCATTGTAAATTATGTATTTCACTCAAAGACAAAAAGTTCCAGGAAAGGACGTCTTTCTCTTCAGTTGTTCCATTGGGTATTGTATCTAATAGGCCAGTGCTCTTTAGCTTGTGTGGCAGATTGTTGAATTTGTGACTTTTGCATCCACTCAGTGTTTGATTTGTCAAGAATATTGAAGTTGGAAATTGTAAGTATGAAAAGAATCCATACTTGTAAATATGGGAAGGTTTGGAATCCCTTTGATTGAAGGAATGACCATGCAATTTATTTCCATATCCTCTTTCCTTTATTTACATGCCTAACTTACCCCTGTTGCCCTGCAGATAACATTTAAAGGATTAGGAAACTGTGTTCTGATTGGCACTCCAGATGTGATTTTATGCTCCTTGTCAGTCTTGAGTAGCTCTTTGGGTCGGAATTGATACTCCGACATGCGTGGATATTGAAAATTATTCATGGCTCCAGTGTCTACTCCAAGCCTGTAGCTTTCTGTCATGGAATTGAAAAAAGTTGCTAAGGAGATATTGGACCACTAGGTATGTTTAGCCAGAACTGGCTCTATCTGTACATTCTCATCGCTATGTTAAGATATTTGTACGTTTTTAGCTAATATTCAGTTCTCCTAGTTCTTTATTTTCAAAGAAAGTTTCCGTATAGTTTCAGAAAAAGAAGGTTTTCGTATTACAGTCGCTGTTTTTGGTTTTGATATCCTTGACCCTTGACCATCTTTCGGATCATAAATACAAATCAAACATCGAAGAGCACTCGGTGAGAATACATCTTCATTTATAGGTGATGGAAGAAGGGATCTTGTTGCACTTGGGACTTTACTTATAGGTGTCTTTCTAGGTTTTAGTTAAACTGCACGAAATATTTCTTAATTCTCATGGATTAGAATGGAAATGGTTGAAAGTTGGGATCTCCTATAGACCAACTATTATTTTGGAGATGTTTAATCTCACTAGTGGGATGACCTATAATATACTTTCTGATGGAACTATGTCTACCCGTGTTCCATGGTGATTATTAGAAGCCTTATGCTAATGATGTTTGTACTCCTATCTTTGTTCTCTTACCTGTTCTCACTTTTCCCCATCACCTCCAATTTGGAGACAGAACACTGAAAAGATAGAGCCTCCCACATTCGTCCCTTGTTGCGACCAAGTCATTGTGAATTATCTTGAAAGAGCTTAATTTTATGTTGAGATCTTTTTCCGGCTTATGCATCAATTTTGATTCGTTCTGGGGAAGTACATGAAGAAAATTTGGTAAAAAGTATTCTGAACTCTCTACTTCTGAACCAATTTTGCTCTTCTGATAGACAAACAGATCTCATTGTCCTCACCTACAAAATGCTACTGTATCTTGTGTGAGATCATTGCCTGTTTCCAGAATAGAGATGCTATGTGTTGTTGGAGGATTTCTCCCAAGAAGACTCTTTATCTAGGCAAAGTTAACATGAACCCCCGCCCCCCCCCCCCCCCCCCGAGTTTTTCTATAGCACTAGGTTCAAAACTATGTGGATAGTACGCCTATCTACCTTTCTCCGCTCAGTCTCTGACTAGGTTCAGACACATGACTTGTGCCTACATGACCCCATATTTCTGGGGAGAAGGACCTAAGGCAAGTATCTATGATTTACTGGAAAGATTTAAGGAAGGACAAGGGAGCAAAAGAAGGGGAAAACTTCATCAGAAAAGAAGTGGACAATCATTGTTTAGTTGAAGGACTTGTAATGCTAGTGTTGTTGTACTGTATAAAAAAATGTGAAAATGCAGACTGCAATAGGATATACGATTATACAAGATCAATGTTTGGTCTTTATATTGATACATAGATTTCCACATGTTATTGTGCAAACTGAACGTTGCACTGCACTAGCTAGTAGGGGTGTACATAGGTTGGTTTGGTTTGATTTAACTAAATCAATTATGTCGGTTTATAAAATCTATAAATCAAATCAAACCTATATAAAGTTGGTTTTCTTGATTTTGGTTTTAGTCAGATCTTTTGATTTTTTTGGTTTTTCGATTCTCTTATAATAATGTAGTGATTTAAAAGGAGATCAAATATATTTTTGATTACTTGTGTGATATGCTAGAACTTAAACATTAATGATTAGAAATCTTCAAAAAGACTTAAAAATTCACATAAATGCAAAATACTTTCTATATCTTATATCTATAAGATTAGAGGTTGGGATCGGTTTCTTTTCTTTTAATACCAAACCAAAAGAGAGGTCAGGTTTTTTTTTCCAACACTAAGACTTGGTTCATCGATTTGGTTTGACTTAACTTAACGATTTGGCTTGTACACCCCTAAATTTACCAGAAGAACCATTTTTTCCTTTTTTGAGGAAAAAAAACAAGACTAAAACCTCGAATGATTTTCGTTTTGAAACAAAAATCCTTCAGAAGATAGAGAGACATTACGTTGGAGAAATCATATGTAATGCGCATGATACGAGTAGCGTAGATGATAACAAAGTTCAATCATCAATGAGGACACTAGCACTTTCAGATCCTTCAAATATATCATGAACTGATCATCAAACATTTCCTGCACTACAGCTCTAAACCATAGCTAGATGAAGTACCAGACTCAGACTCAAACACAAGCATCTAAAAAGTTTTCAATGTTACAAACGCATCAAGCTTTCACTTCGGGTTCGGTGCTTGGAGGCACTGCTGCCTTAGGTTCAGAGTTTTCTTCTTCCTCAACTTCTTCAGTGTCACTGTCATCATCGTCTCCTGCAGAAACAATGTCAACTTATATTAGACGAGGACGCAAATAACAAATTTTCAATTTCAAATCCAAGCTGAAAGTAAACGATTTGAAGCTGAGAACATTAGTAATTGTGCTCAATTGCTGCAGAACCAAATCAGACTTACCCTCAGTCACATCAGCATCAAAATCACTAGGATCTTCTCCCATGTTGAGTTTCTGAGAGAATAATAAAAGGGATAATGTTAAAACTTCAGCATCAATATAGACTCAAATTAACACCATTGCCTATTAATACTCCCTCTGTCCCTAATTATTTGTTCATATTTCTTTTTTTAATTGTCCCTAATTACTTGTCCATTTTGACAAATCAAGAAAGGACAATTTTTTTTACCTATTATACCCTCAATTAATTACTTTGAAAAAGGTAAAACTTCTTGAAAATATTAAGTTTTTAATTCATCCACTTCATAATTAATAGGAATAAAATGGTAAACTCGCTATGTCAATTATTGATTTCTTAATAGGTATGTCAATTCAAAAGTGGACAAGTAATTAGGGACAGAGGGAGTATCTCTCTAGAACCGCTTACCGAAAAGTCCATGTCACCGAAATCCATATCCGGCACAGCTGAAATATTAGTATCATAGTTAGCAAATGGCTAATATCAACAGTAAAGATATTCCTAGTGACATTATACTTACGTTTACCGTCTTCTTCATCTTCATCAACCCATTTGTCCCAATCAACTTTCAAAAACACCGGACGTAATCCTTCCTGCTTTATAAGTCTGCTCCACCACTTCTCTTCCGCCTTCTTAACTAGATATACGATACTTCTAGAGGTAGTACTACTTTTGCTCTCCTGAATGATCATTTTACATTTTACAGTAAAATTAACATGGATTCTATCTCACACAAAAATTTGCAGATGAAGCAAACTGATGGAAATTCACTTACATCAACATTAATTTTATCGAACAGATCGAGATCCACTTCATATGGTACATTATCAGCTCCTGCAGTTGCAGAGAACAAGAATTTTCCTTCTGGTTCCAGTTTCAGCTTCACATTCTTGGCATCCGGTAACTCCACCGTAATAAACAACTTATCAGACCTCTGAGCCCACTTGATAGTAGGATGTCGGCTGAGATAGAGAAGCAGAAAACAAATGGATATCAACTAAATCATAAAAATCACAACCACTATCAAGGCAAAACCAGGAAGAGACAATTAGCAGGATGTCTTCAACTCTGGATAGATACTCTAGAAACCTAAGTTGCGCCGACTCTACACTTCCAATGCTACACGCGTGTCGAATTCTCCAAAAATACACTACTTTTGGAGAATCTGACCCATTGGAATTTTTGAAGAGTCCGAGCAACATAGCTAGAAAGGCACAGCCAGTCCGAGAAGTCACAAAATGTATTTCAAAACAAGAAATTTTGAGGAGATGAGCAAACAAATTATCATTATTTTCTTCAGTGTGATTCATCATATGTTTAACTATGTCCTTTGTCATTATTGTCTGTAGTAAATTATCCCACAATATTCAGGATGCAAGAAATTGAAAGATGACTCATTATAGCCGGGGTCCCAATTGCTATATAGTTAAATGCAAAAGAAGAAATCTATTTATTCTGAATCAAGAACCACGTCAAACCAATTACAACGCAGTGATAGAGCTAAGATGGAGTTTCAAAATATAAAAAAGTAAAACATATGAAAAAAAGCCTAACCATGTACAACCCGTATAATTTTCCATCGAAGAGGGGTTCATTTTGGTTTGGATGAACCCTCTTGGCCCTACCTGGCTCTATCCCTAGTTCAAGGGACAGGCACACTAAATACTATTAAAAATTCAAACACTAACCCTCTTGGCCCTACCCGGCTCCGCCCTGGGTTCAAGGGACGAGCACACTAAGGGGTTCTAAAATATGAAGAGCATGGATGGATCTAGAGGGTACCAAGGGTGTTCATATTTTTATTTTATTTTTTGTATATATAGAGAGAGAGATTTCAAACCTCCTAAACATAAGATAGTGGTTTCAGGGGTTTAAAATTCACCTTGAGTTACAAGTTCAAATCTTATTCTTGATCCACCACAGATGAAGAATCCAAAAGGATTCAACATCCACATTATATACGTAAAAAAATCAAATTAACCATGTATAATTTTCTGTTAATGCGAGGTTCAAAACTCTAAAATCCTAGGGTTCAATTCAAACATTTCGACAATAAAATTAAAAACACCACAAACAGTGCAACCACAAGTCTACTACTCAGTACTCATAACGCAATAGATAAAATATACACAAACTGTAAAAGAAAAAAACAGAGATTGAAGAACATACATACCTCATGATTATATAATACACAAAGGGGAAAATTGAGAGATACAATTGCGTTAAGAAAGTTATACAAATGGCAGTTGCTTTATATATATGGAGCTGTAGAGAGGTGGGGCCTACTGGAAATGTCTAGATACTTCTGGGTCCTTCATTTTGTGTAAACTACTATATTTCAGGTGTTTCTCTGTTTTTTTAAATAAAAAAGAGACTCATTTGTTTTGAAGATATTAGTCTTAATAATTCAGATCTCAATTATTAAATTTATTTTTAATTATAGGATTTATAAAGATAATAGTTTGTTAATGGGATTATTCTTTCTTCACTAGCGCCAAGTATCGTCGTTGTCATTCAACTATTTGCTCTATCACCTCAACTATTATTCTTAGTCACAACGAATATTGTTGATAATTATTATAATCAATCGTCACAATGTAATCATTAGTCGTCATTTATAATTATTACTGTTGTTTATAATAATGACACCAATCATTGACATTATTTATCACTAATTATTATCTTCATTTATCATTATTTTTAATTTATTACGATCGTCAATTATTATCAGTCACCATCATTACTAGTTGTTTATTGACTAACATCATCCGCAATCCGCTCCTACAATTACAATGATTAGTCATCTATATCTATATGTTGGTTTTGTCAAATCTTACATGATTTTCTTTAAAATATCCTCTACAAATTGAGTATTAATCTAATAGTTGAATAGCAACAGCAAAAGAGAAAAAGATTAATTATAGAAAGAAGGCAAAGAAACAAAATCGAGAAAATTAGACCTAGGAAGTTCACATTAAGAATTACTTGCATCTTATATATAATATAATCTATTTTTCATATCAATTTTTAAATATTAAACTTTATTCGCACATTCAATAATTTTTCTATGGAATTAAGTACCACTTCATCACCAAGGTTCGTGAGCCACTTCACCACCAAAGTTCACATGTTTGGGATTGTTTCTTAAAGGTCGGTTGATATGCTGGACAAGTTATATTGGAATTAATAATCAATATTGTGATAAGTTATTTTTACAAGAGGATAAAATAATAATATTGAAATTAGTTATCTCGGCATGAATAATGAAAATGACAAAAATATTCTTGAGGTCCCTCAAACTCCTTTTTCTACTAAATAAGGTGACAGAAACTACCTTTCTTAAAAATTATGTAATACATATTATTTTTACTACAACAAATTAAATCGTTAATAAAAAATAATATCAGAATAATTAATTTCATCATAACTAAGTACTAACCCAAACATAACTTGTGTTGATACCAAATGACTCTTTGTTTGCAATCAGTACACTAAATTCCTTTATGTGTAGAGTCAAGGTTGGATCACAAAATTCTATTATACTCACACCGTTCAACAATACTTGTTAACTATTGATTTTGCACGTTTTTTAAGAAGCTATAAATAGAAGGTGTTTTTACTATATCACCCTTTGAATATAATAAATGCAATGTCTTGAAAAATGTAATAGAGAAATGACTATAATTAATGATAAGGGTAAATTAAAAATTAAGTGTAAAATTATCGATTGATCTCATAGACTGGACAAGTATTATTGAATATTCCAAAATAGTATAGTGTACAACTATGGTTAGACAGAGGGCGTACATAGTATTATCTTATATACCTACAAAAAATTGTTTCGATAACTCAAATTCATGACCTTCTCGTAACTTTACCGATTACATCGAGACACCCTAAGTGTTCCCATTTAAAAGTGCCCCCAAGCAACATTAGTGTGGACTATGGCCTACGTTGATTCGTTATTGTCAAAATGCACTTGTTTCTCCAAACTCAAACAACTCCATGCCCATCTTATTATCACAGGCAATTTTCAATTCTACACTTGCCGCGCCAAATTCTTGGATTTCTGCGCCGTCTCTTCCGCCGGAAACCTCCCTTACGCCACCCATATCTTCCGCCACATCACTTCCCCATACAAGAATGAATGGAACGCCATTATTCGCGGCCTTGCCCAAAGCCACAACCCCATTGATGCTCTCACTTTTTATGTCTCAATGTCTCGTTCCCTTTGTAAGCCTGATGCTCTCACCTGCTCTTTCACTCTCAAAGCCTGTGCCCGTGCATTGGCCCGTTCCGAAACCCCACAACTTCATGCCCATGTGATTCGATTTGGGTTTGCTGCAGATGTCCTGTTGCGTACCACTTTACTGGATGCGTACTCGAAATGTGGTGATTTGGATTATGCATACAAGGTGTTTGATGAAATGGGTGTTAGAGATATTGCGATTTGGAATGCGTTAATTGCTGGGTTAGCTCAAGGGAATCGACCCACTGAAGCTTTGTTGCTTTTTAAGAAAATGAGAGAGGAGAATATGGAACCAAATGAGGTTACTGTGCTTGGTGCTCTCGCTGCTTGTTCGCAGTTGGGGGCGAATAAAGAAGGGGAACTTGTTCACGAGCATATCAAAAGTAAGAATCTTGATTGCAAAGTGATTGTTTGTAATGCAGTTATTGATATGTATGCAAAATGTGGTCTTGTTGGAAGAGCTTATGAAGTGTTCAATGAGATGAAATGCTTGAGGACTCGTGTCACGTGGAATACAATGATTATGGCACTCGCGATGTATGGAGATGGAGAGCAAGCACTTGAGCTTTTTGAAAGAATGAGCCAAGCTGGGATTGACCCAGATAGTGTGAGTTACTTAGCTGCAATCTGTGCTTGTAACCATGCAGGAATGGTGGAGGAGGGAATGAAATTGTTTGATGACATGGATAGATGTGGAGTGAGTAAGAATGTAAAGCACTATGGTAGTATGGTGGACTTGTTGGGAAGAGCTGGGCGGTTGGATGAAGCTTATAAAATTGTTCAGTCAATGTCTACGGTTCCTGATGTAGTTTTATGGCAAACTCTCTTAGGGGCTTCCAAGACTTATAGTAATGTGGAAATGGCAGAGATAGCATCCAAGAAGCTCGTTGAAATGGGATCAAATCATTGTGGGGATTTCGTGTTGCTATCCAATCTTTATGCAGCACAAGGGAGGTGGCATGATGTGAGAAGAGTAAGGGAAGCCATGAAAGGTCAGGATGTAAAGAAGGTACCAGGCTTTAGCTATATTGAAGTTGGTGGAACGATATACAAATTTATGAATGGTGATAAGAACCATCCAAAATGGAATGAGATTTACTGGAAGCTTGATGAGGTTTCATTAAGGATTAGGGAATACGGGTATGTGGCAGAAACTAATTATGTGTTTCATGATATTGGACCGGAGGAGAAGGAGAATGCACTGTGTTATCATAGTGAGAAACTGGCAGTAGCTTTTGGTTTGATTAGTACACCTGATAGAACTTGTATAAGTGTGAATAAGAATCTTAGAATATGTGGGGATTGTCATGTTGTGATTAAGCTCATATCAAAGATATATGAGCGGGAGATTATTGTGAGGGACAGGACTCGTTTTCACAGATTCAAAGATGGAGCTTGTTCTTGCAAAGAATATTGGTGAGGTTGATCTAGGTCTGTGTAAAAAGCACATTTTTGAAAAGGGCTCAACTTTTGCACGAAATGCTTCCTGAGTTTGAGAGATGGGGGAGAATGGAAGTATTTAGTATGCAGCATTACTTGGCATTTCAGCTGAGAGACTGTAGAAGTCGCGGTCTACAGGTCACCAAAGGAGCAACTCTACCATTATACCAGAGTTCGCTCTCACAAGAGATGTGATTCATTTTCAAAAATCTGAAGCGAAGGACTTCTTCCTGTTGCAGAAATTTGTGATGAGGAATCTGTTTTATACTATGTTATGAAAAGAGGAGCTTTAGACATTTTTTTTAGCTGTTGATTCAATGTACTTTTTGGCTTTACATGTATGCACTAGTTGAATCTTTTTCTTAAGCAAATGGAATGTTGTGGTAAAGCAGCAATATTTTGAAACATAGATTGGTGCTAAGGCAGGCTCCTCAAGTAATCGAATAAATGAGAGTTTATCAAAGAACTAAGGATAAAACTTCACAACTCTTTATAAAGTGTATCACAAAGGCTTCAAATAAAATAGCACAAGGGTGATTGAAATAACTTCAATGACCATGAAATTTTACACTACATAGTTTGAACAAATGTAATTACATGATCTTGATTTCTCGCGACTCACTACTCTTGAAAGGCAATATAAAATCAACCTGCTAAAGTCTGAGCAAGTTGCAATAGTTGAAAAAGTATACTGCACAAAGTAAGAACTCAGAAACAATAGGCTTACAAATCGTCAAGAGGTTAGACAAAAATTACGAATAAACAGGGTCAACTGAAAAGAATGAACATTTCTAATTTCTGCTGCATACTTCCAAGTCTTGATGAACGTAGACCTTCCAAGGCAACTGCTAGAGTGAACAACCTCAACTTGGTAGCTATCCCTACAAAAGACATGTTGATTTCATACAGAGACTAATGATCAAAACCAACTAATCTTTCATCAGTCGGGCCTCGAAACCACCCTCAGGCCTTTTTACAAGTCTGTATGGCCTGTATGTTCCAAGAAGTTTGTCCCAAATGGAAAAGAATGGCTGAGAATAATTGAACTTTGTGCCTTGAAGCTGATGATGAATGTCATGGTAAGCAGTGTTATTTTGGAAAAACAAATGGAAGATATTACCAGGCAGCCAAAGTCCACAATGATCATCAACTGTTTTGACCACAGCAAAGCAGAAAAAAATTACAGCAGTACGTGCAGTCATTCCAGCAACAAGAAACGAAAGAACACCACCAAAAGTATCCAGGAGGAGACCTTCAAGTGGGTGGTTATAAAGGGCACCAATCGCGTAAGGTACAACCAACCGATGATGCTGGGAGTGAATATGGCGGTATAAAAACTTGTTCTGATGCATGTAGCGATGCACAAAGTACTGCCATGTGTCCATGACCAGCATCGCAATAATGATCTGCACAATCTGAACAGGAATTGAGGGCTGGACTACAGTTTCTGATGTAGTTACCTTACAAGTTAACTGCAACAGAAAACCAGAAACTGGTGTCAGTTATGTAGAATTTGCAAAAGCTAGTCAATATCATATAGAAACAGGATTAACAATCTTCATTCCCGACCTTTTTAAAACAATAGACTCCTAAATATCATATCTGGTTTTGCAGAAACTAGAAGAATCTGTACTCCCAATTATAACAATCGCTAGTTACTCTACTATAGACATATGTAGCTGGTACAGGAAACTGATACTTCCTCTTCAATTGAATAGCTTTTAAGCGCCAAAATCTTTACTCGAAGTGAAATTGAACTTCAGATGACCTTATTACACAACCTCATGATTTTCTTTCAATCAGCACTAAGAACCCATGCAACATTATTTCGTGCTAGCAAGCAGCTTCACCCTTCTAAGTTCTAAGTTAATGCAGAATAGGGCTAGCCTCAGAGTAAAATAGCTTAGTACAAGCATTAAACAACATTATACACCCTCGAAAAGAGAGCACTAAACAGCCTTGTTTCTTAAGAAGGGAGGATCATTTTCAACAATGAAAGCAATCTAACTCCGCAATAATTTTTTGACCACTAGAGGGATAAGATTATGAAAATTGCAGACCAATTACAGCTCTAACAATCAACTATAAGTGTCGTACAATTATCAGAGAGTAACTAGAGTTTGACTGATAAGAAGTTGTGACAACAAAGATGTGATTTGAATCACAAGAACTTTTTTCCTTCTTTTTTTTCTTGGGCATGGTTGAATCGTAAAAAATATTATGGCTGCCGAAAAATATGGAAACAACTCCACCCCACCCCCACCCCAGTGTTTTTAAAAGAAAAACACAAGGTTAGCAAATATATGCAAGTATGCAACTGAAAGTGCTCTTAGGTTGTTTGATTCCTGGTCATTCCATAGTAATCCCAAAAATAAAATAAGTATTGGCTAGCCCTCTGTTTCCTACTTTCACTCCAACCAAGTCAATCTATGATCATAACGGGCCAAAGATGAAATATGGCATGATTTCAACCAAAAAATTAGAGAAGCATACACATGTAAGCCAGAGTATAGAACTAATTCTTCCAACAATGCTACTCTGGAATAAAAAAGCACATGTTTCTGCATCACATCCAATGCAGAAAATGTTATGGTCCCATCAGTCATCAAGGTAGTCCTTGGGGATTGAACTAAAGGGCAGTGTTTTGAGGATTTAGATGAGTATCCACAATATACGACAAAGAGAGCGACTCTATGTTTATGAACTCATTAATTCTACCAGCTGATCTTCATTTTCCACTTATGCTCAACATGCTTCTAAACATATGCCTCAGTAAGCACAAAGTTTCAAGCGCGGAAAAACCAGTCTTAACTAACACAAAGTGCACTAAGAAGTAGGAACCATTAATTCTAATAAAATCAACCATAATTATTAAAAGTAATGGTACCTAGTGCACTTTGTGTTAGTTAAGGTAAAATGCTTTACTTGGTTGGTGGTTAAAAGAACATGCCTGACACAAGAAGTTTTGAAGAAAAAAGGGGCCATCATAGTTTCCAGGTGCTTCTTACAGCACCGCTTTGGTCTGTATTTCTCAACATAACAAAGACAAGTTGGACCATGCCAGAGCATACTGCAAATTTGCTTAGCTGCTGGATGAAAAGAGGAAGCAGCAAAAGTCAAAAGAAGTGGTGGAGGATCATACCACAATGCATCTGGTGGAGAGTTTGGAGAGAGAGAAATGGGAGGTGCTGTGAAGATAGATCCAATTCCATTCAGAAAGTTAAATGGAATTGTATAATATCATTCTACTTTTGTTGTAAAGAAGTAGGTCTAGAGGATATAGATCATTTTGTAGATCTATTAAGGTCTGTGTAAGTATCTTTTTTTCTATTTATTTTTTTAACTCTTAACACTTTTTGATGGTCTCCAGCACGTCCTCAATGTTGAGGAATACACATTGACCAGTTTCAAAAAAGAAAAGAAAAGTAAAGTACTCTGTTAAAAATCCATCCTCAGCTACCACCCTGATTGACCAGTTTGTAATTTTACATTCTGACCTCAACTCACACCTGAGGTCCCCTTACTCCCCCTTTGCCCTACCAAATTTCCTATCTACGTTTTCTCCCAATTTCCGGTTGCTCCTACCACCCCTACCTTCCCCATCTATTAATTTCCCACTCTGTAGCCTATCAAACTATACAAAGCCACAATCTCTACTCTACTTACTCCTTTCTGAATTGCCCCTGTTGATCAATGCCAGTTGCACTAGGGAAACTTGACAAGATGAATAGTGATAACAGAACAGTTCGGCCTAGTGATTTCCTACCTGAAATTATCCTTAACAGTAAACAACTTTACTTTCCAGCATTTGCTGCTTGTTCACTGTTCTGATTGAGCCAACTGCAGTAGTTCTAAACATCTATACAAATTTCTACACTAAGGACTGAGCCATATTGTTGGAGAAACCAGACAGGCACTTTTGCCTCCAGGTGATGGATTTAGGCAAACAAGTATATTAAAGACAAGATGTTGGTCTTGATGTTCTGATGTTATATCAATTAAGTTTTACAAATTGGTCATTTGACTCAGAAGTTCACAACACGTTTGGTGGTAGATAAGTGGTAGGAATTGTCACTGGACCAAAAGATGTGTTAGCTGATGGATTTGAAGCAAGGGTGCGACTTGTGGTTGTTTGGACTGTATCTACATTAAATATTGTGTCCCTGAAGATCAACTATGAAAGACGAGGATAAGATGAATGAGGTAATCCATGACCTGAGGTCAATCTAAACATGGTAAAAGAAGTGATAATCGCAAACAGTCCAATAGCCTCAATAGTTTGGAAGGTAACCTCCTAGTCTTAAAGTCACCAGGTGTAATTTGAATTTCAATTCTTACTACCCAATACATAAACAAAAAAGAATGAAAAAGGTAAAAAGAAGAGAAGAGAACACAACTTCAGCAAACTCACAATATCAGATTATGAGACAAAAACTTGTTTCCCTGACAATCGATGAGCAAAATAAGCATTTGCAGAAATCTCTAAACTCCATTATGTAAGTATGAATTTCAAGAGCTACTCTGTTTATTAGTTCCTGTTAGATCATTAACCATTTGCAACACAATTCCCTCTTGATCTATCCATGATAATTGCTCATAGAGACGCCAAGTCATATAGATGGCATCTTCGAAACTATCTGTAGGTCAAAGCAAATACAACTGTCCAGAAAAAAATTTCATGTTGCATTAACAGCCCAAAACCCTACATTGGAGGACATAGATCATTCCACGTGTCTCAACCATAAAAAGTTTAGGTCAATACTTCATTTTTACTGATAGGTCGTGGGTGAAGACATTTGATAGCTGCAAAACTTCACTAAAAGGCAAAAGATCACCTTTATCATATGACCCTAGCAGCTAATGGAACCACAGAGCAAAAAAACTCGATAACCATATTAAAACAATTAATTCGGATAAAGAGAAGGCAAGAGGATTTGTAGGTTTCTGGACCAAAAAGGGACAAATTCCCAACCCATTTATAAATAAAAAGATGAGTGATGACCACACATATTGTTCAATCTCTTCTGAAATGTTATGTCATTCAAGGTATATTATCCAAATTCAAGAAATACACAAGCAAACTGTTAGCATGGAGAATTCTAAAGCTGAAGAAACAAAGAGGAAGAAATACATATT